GATGAGATTTGAGACCTGAAGTTGCTTGCTATGCGATCTGGACGCACACCATGAAATTGTCTCGGACGGTTCTCAAATACAATGGAACAGCAAGCCGAATAAGCGAGCCGCATACAGGCGTGCTTTGGTGATCTCGACTATACGATGCTGAGGCAGATATGTCGGAGCAGTCGTTTGACCGGCAAAATCAAGGATGCATCGGCCATGAATAGTCCGCTGGCGAAGGCTTGCACATATCTCCTACCGGATGGCACCACTGCTGCAGTATCAGATGATGAGACGGACTTGTACTTGAAGTTGCTCAAGCAGACCCAGTAATGGGTGACTTGCTTGTAACAGTCACATTACTCTCGGAGTCTCGGGTGGGAGCCTAAGGTCCGAATATGGACGGAAAGTCACCTATCGGGTCATATGGCATGCTTCGCTTTGTAAAACTGAGCGTCCGAGGGTTTTTCATATTATAAATGCAGACTGCGTGACCCATTGTCACGACCATGACGCAATCGTGACAGATTTACTTCCTGACCCACTGATGGTCGCCGTGAAAGGACATAGTGTCCTTTTTCCTGCCGTCCGGAAAAAGGACACCTGCTTTGCCCGCCGTGAGAGTACCCACAAAAGGTATATGTGGTTAGATTAGTGGGCGCGTGACGAGGAGCAGCGGTCAAGGGGCCAACGCGGGTATTACCGACGACGTCAACCCTATTGTCGTTGTCCCTTTCCAAGTTTACGGGGTCCCGATTTTCACTTTCTTGCACGGTTTGCGTGCACTTTCTATTTGCGACTTCCCAGAGCTGTATTAAAATCTGAATCTTTTTCTGTACCGTTGAGTAGCATTCTAGCACAGGTCTACATACTTTTTGAAGTGGTAGGACATACGCTATACCTTTGATAAACGCATCAAGCAAAATCTGAGGATGCGAGCTGTAGACCACTTCCCTGATTCGGACAAACGACGCAGTGTGTCTGAAAACCGGCGATGCGAGACTTTTTCTAACAGTCCTCGTTGAATGGTGCAAGGATTGCTGGTAGTCTTGAATTTGCAGTTGTATATTGTATCATGTGGAGTCTGTAGCCTGTCAAAGTATCTTGTGCTTTCTATACTAGTACATCGGCAGATTTGAAGAAATATGTATCCATCAAGCCCTGCAGTCATGGTCACAATTTGGCAAATATGCGCCCACCAACAGCTCTGTCAAGAGAACTACTATATTATAAGCACTGTTTATAACCAGTCTTATGCATCAGGAAGTAGAGAGGTGTTCCTGTATGTCTGAGTCAGTGCAGAAATATCAACTGAGAAGTGTTTGGGATCTTTCAGAACTGAACAATGTGATATTAGGGATCAAAGATATATATAAGTAGTTATAAGCTATTACCTATGTGTACATGGATGACAGAGGCTTGTTGATTCCCGACAATCGACCACACAAAACATAAACCCAGGCAGAAGAGGAGCCGCCACAAATTGCCTTATCAAGGTGGTCCTCTCTCTTACGTGATGCTTTCGGGGTCCTGTTCACTTTAGGGGGTTGCCGTCGCGCGTTTTCTGGCCATTGGCCCCTTGGCAGCGGTCAACCTCGGACTACTCGGCGGCGGCGTTCGGACTTCGCAGGTATTATGATCTGATAACGATCCTCCGTATCCTCATATAAAGTCACATTTGCGCTCCAGCCCGTCCTTCTCCGTTTTCCGCAACCGTCTCCGCTCGCCGACATCCGTCTGACGTGAATTATCCAGCCTAGACATGAGTGATTTTCTCGAGTAAGTTTGTATATGAAGTTATATCAGTCTGGTGAATGCACTGATTACAATCAGCAGAGCTTTTGATATGCCGAAAGGCGATCCAGGACAAGAATTAGGGCAGCTTCCCGCCGCTGAAGCTCAGTTGCCATGCCCAAGTGACGTTGAATCTGATGATAGCATCATGGAAGACATTGATCATTATAAGCTGCTATATCGGCTTTTCTGCTCTCTTGAACAGTTCAATTTGGCCAGGCAGATCCTGGATTCTCTCAAGGATACTGTGGACTGTATCCCGGAAGGTCACAGAGATAGGGCAGATAGGCTCTATGAACTGGGAATGCTCTACTTGGACTATGCTACCAGGAGTAGAGGCCCACCTGACTTGGATCAAGCCATCAAGCACATGAAGGATGCTGTGGAGCTAACTGCTTCTGATCATCCAGATTGGGGTCAAAGAGTCAAGGAATTGAAAATATCATGCTTTGTGCAAACTGGCATGGCAGTTTTAGTGGGGGATATCAGAAAAGCCAGTGCCTATGGTCAGATGGCTGTTGATTTGACCCCTGGGAACAATACAGGAAGCATTGGGTGGCTCAAATTCATTGGAGCTATATATGAAGAATGTTTTGAACAGTTCAAGGAGAAGGAGGATTTGGAGAAGGCTATTCGCTACAGACAGGAGGTTGTCAATATAACCCCTGTGAATCATCCAGATAGGCCTGATATGCTCAATAGTCTGGGCCAGGTGCTGCTCATGTCTTTTGAATACTTTGACAAGCAGCAAGACCTGGAAAGGGCTATTATCTGCCATCAGGAGGCAGTGGATATGGTGCCAGATGATCACCCAACCAAAGCATTAAGGGTAAATGCTCTTGCCAGCTCCCTTGTGAGCCGCTATACAGGCTTTGGTAGCATGGCAGATTTGGATCTTGCTATCCAGTACTACCTCAACATTGTAACTATCACTCGAGATCAGTCAGACAAGGCAAACTACCTCCATAAGCTAGCCAATGCATTGTGTGTCCGTTTCAAGAATATTGGGGAGCTCAGAGATCTCGAGGAGGCTATCAGATGTCTCCAAGAGGCTCTACTGTTTGCAGTGGATAATGACCAGTGCAGAGCTGAGATGCTTAGCAGTCTGGGAGGGGCATTTCAGGCCCGTTGATATGCACAGACACACAACAATCACCAAGGACCAAAAGAAATTAACCTAAACCCCGTGATATGGGTGAAGGTGGTCCGAGACAACTGAAGGGTATTTAATAGTTCGAGGGGGAAAGGAGGAGTAAGACGCCGTAGGGTAGTCCGTAGGAAGACCTAGAAAAATAAAACAAAAACCTTGACGCCTGAAACAAACACTAAGGGACGCTCCGGAGTATTTATCGTCCGGAAAGTCGCAGACAAAGTCGCAAACCACGAAACCGAGTGTAGGTT